CACAAGATTTCCTCCAAGAAAGGTGCAATATCCTGTAATTGACCTCCTATCCACAATTGACCCTGCATAATCAACATCAATATAGGCTTCAAGCTTCACATTACCATTCCTTTTAAATAGAATCCCTCTTCCTGGGGTTCCTTTAAGGTACTGTAAAATTCTGTAGGCTGCTTGTAAATGGGTCTCCTTTGGGTTATGCATAAATTGGCTAATTAAACTCACTACATAGGCAATATCTGGCCTGGTATGCGACAAATATATAAGTCTGCCCACTAATCGTTGGTACATATCTTTTTCAACAACAACATCTTCTGCATTTCCAAGCTTTAGGTTTGGTTCTAATGGGGTACTAGCAAGTTTGGAAGCTGTCTTGCCAGTTTCCTTGAGCAAATCAGTGATGTATTTCTGTTGGGATATAAATATCCCTTTCTTGGAGTGGACAACTTTGATTCCTAAAAAATATTTTAGTTTTCCCAAGGTCTTGATCTCAAATTCCTTGCCTAAGCATTGACTCAAAAATTGCTGCTTTTCTTTATTATCTCCAGTTAATATTAAGTCATCCACATACACCAATAATATTGTTACTCCTCCTGACTTGGAATGTTTAAAGAACAAGGTATGATCCCCTTGGCTTTGTTTGTAACCCAGACCTGTCATAACTTTAGTAAACCTGCCAAACCATGCACGGGGGGACTGTTTTAGCCCATATAATGCCTTTTTCAACTTGCAAACAGTGTTGGCAACATCTTTACCATATCCTGGAGGTATCTCCATATAAATTTCTTCTTCAAGGTCTCCATGTAGGAAAACATTCTTAACATCAAATTGTTCCAAGTTCCAACCATAATTGGCAGCAAGGGACAATATCACCCTAACTGTGTTCATTTTGGAAACCGGAGCAAAGGTCTCCAAATAATCAACTCCATAGGTTTGGGTGAACCCTTTGACAACTAGTCTTGCCTTATATCTCTCAATTGATCCATCATCCTTGTATTTCACTATATACACCCACTTACATCCAACTGGCCTCTTTCATATTGGTAAGGTGACTAAATCCCAGGTGTTGTTCTTCTCCAATGCCTCCATCTCTACATCCATGGCTTGCCTCCATTTTCTGTAAGACAATGCCTCAGATAAGGTATTAGGTAGAAGTAGTGTTTAGGTTTACTAGGAAGGTTTTATGGGTAGGAGAGAATTTTTTAAAGGACAAGTAATTTGAGAGAGGGTAGAGTGGTTGTTTGGTGCATTTTCTTGTCTCTTTTCTAATGGCAATTGGGAGGTCAGGATCATTTTGGGTTTCAATTTCAACCTGCACAGCTGGAGAAAAAATTGTTACCTTTTTTTGTGGAGTCGAGTTGGATTCTTGAACATGGCTTGATCCTGGAATGGCCTTAGTCTTCCTTGAGTACACCAGCTTCTTACCAAATTTTCCAGCTTCAACATCTTCTTGATCAGCTTCACAATTAATTTCACTTTCTTGACCAACTTCCTTTTCTTGACCAATTCTTTGACTTGTTTCATTTGTTATAACTTCAATTTGATCTCGTTTAGGTTCAAATATCAAGTCTGGAAGAATGGGAAAACCAGAATTACTACTTTCAATATGATCTCGTTTAGGTTCAAATGTCAAGTCTGGAAGAATGGGAAAACCATAATTACTACTTTTCTTATCTTTCCTGAAACTCTCCCCCTAAAGATAAGGTTGATGGAAATAGCCCTCTTGTTCATTGAAGATAACATCCCTAGATACAAAGAATTTTTTGGATGGGGGGTGGTAGCATTTATATCCTTTTTGAGTGGGTGAGTAACCAACAAAGACACACTTTAAGGCTCTAGGATCAAGTTTCCCCCTGTCTCTACTATGAATATGGACATATGAGATGCACCTAAAAACCCTTGGTTTAAGATTATTTGTAGTAGACAAGTTTGGATAGAAAGACGACAAAGCTTCCATAGGGCTTTTTGATCCTAAGACTCTAGAGGGTAGTCTATTGATAAGTTATGTTGCTGTAAGGACAACTTTCCCCCAGAAATTTTTTGGGACACTTTTTTGGAACAACAATGCCCGAGTCTAATTTAATAGATGTCCACTTTTCCTCTCTGCGACCCCAGTGTTTTGACACAAGAGGACTCATGAATTATACCTTCTTTTTGACAAAAAGAATTAAGGACATGATTGAAGTAATCTTTGGCATTATCTGACCTAAGCCTCTTAATATTAACACCAAATTGATTTTTTATCATGGAGTGGAAGTTTAGGAAGACAGAACTGACTTCTGATTTTTGTTTAAGTAGGAAAACCCAAGTGACCCCCTTGTACAGTCATCTATAAATGTGACAAACCATCAAGTACCAGACACATTTGAAATATTAGAAGGTCCCCATACATCAGTATGAACAAGATAAAAGGAGAAATTGTTAATTCTATTACTTATTGGAAAAGATATACGTTTGTGCTTAGCAAGTTCACACACCTCACAATGAAGACTCTCAACATCTAACTTGATAAACAGAGAGGGAAACATAATTTTGATCACTCCAAAAGAGGGATGTCCCAACCGACAATGATAAAGCATGATTTTTTCTCTGCTGGTCATCAAGGATTCAGATATGAAGGAGTGAGAGATTCTATTCTTACTGGGCAGACTTGGATCTTCGAGATAATAAAGGCCATTTCATTCTCTAGCATGTCCAATCATCCTCCCCGAATCCTTGTCCTGAAATACACAATGATCGTTGAAAAAAACAATTTTACATGATAAATCCTTTATAAGTTTTTGTATGGACACTAGGTTCGTGGACAACTTTGGGACATGGAGAACATCTTTTAAGGTTATTAAATGATTGATTTGGATATTTCCTTGACCAGCTACAATTATAAGGGTTCCATCTGCTGCGACAATTTTCTTGTTGCTGGGACATGGGGAATATGTGGAGAAGTGTTTGGCTAATGGTGTCATGTGATCTGTGGCTCCAGAGTCCAATATCCAATAATGGTTAAAAGGTGTATCTGAGACATTTAATCCAAAAGAAGGTGGAAACTTACCTAAGTATGCCAAAGAACACACACCTGTAGGTTTTTTCAGCTTACTAAAAACAGTTTTCACCCTTTCTATCTCCTCTTCCCTTGACATGATAGCAAAAAGGTGTGATGCAACAGTAATACAAGCTGTCGTCTTAGGATTAAGAAAAATGCAGCAGCAATGCAGGCTGCCGTCTTAGGATTAAGAAAAAATGCAACAGCAATGCAAGTTGCCGTCTTAGGGTTAAGAAAAAATGCAGCAGCAATATAGGCTGTCGTCTTAGGGTTTATAGTGCGCGGACGGAACTTCCTAGATCGGAAGCTTTGATACCATCTGGAAAATTAGATTAAATGAAATCTTATTTTATTTATTTTAATATAAAGAGATCATACAAGATATATACAGGAGACCTAAGCTATTTTAAGAAATATAATAACTCTATTTTATTTTAGGATCCCTTGATTTATGAGATTGTTCCTAATTGTTCAAATATGTACATATTACAAATTTTCTAATTTATTCTTTCTTAAAATACTATTTGATTTCCCACACTAATGATAAAAACATATACACTGAGTAAATGGAAGGTCAAGGGACAAAATTGTGAACTAGAAGTACAAAGATAGATTTTTTTCTTCACTAACTTATTATTAAATTTATAATTTAGAAATAACATCGTTCTATCAATATTTACCTGACTAACACTAATTTTAGATTTTTTTTCAGTAGCATGCTATTAAATTTATAATTAAAAAATAACATTATTCTATCAATATTTACCTTATTACACAATTTTCAACTTCACTAATTAATATAATTTTTAAAATAAAATAATATTTATTAAATATAAATATGTATCTTTTATAGAAAATAAATATATAAATATTATATATATTTAAAAAATTTATTTATATAATTATATGAAATAAATATAAATATTTTTTTAAATAACATAAAAATATATTTATATAATTATATTATTAATATATTTTTATAAATATAGTAAAAATAAATATATTTAATATATATATATATATATAATGTTTAAATATTTATTTATATTTTTATAAATATAATAAAATTTAATAAATATATTTTATTATATTATTAATATATTTTTATAAAAATATATTTTAATATATTTTTATAAAAATATAAATAAATATTTAAACATTATATATATTAAATATATATATGTTTTTACTATATTTATAAAAATATATTAATAATATAATTATATAAATATATAAATATATTTTTATATTATTTAAAAAAATATATTTATATTTATTTCATATAATTATATAAATAAAATTTTTTAAATATATATAATATTTATGTATTTATTTTCTATAAAAAATATATATTTATATTTAATTATTATATTTAATAAATATTATTTTATTTTAAAAATTATATTAATTAGTAAAGTTGAAAATTGTGTAATAAAGTAAATATTGATAGAATGATGTTATTTCTAGTATTATAAATTTAATAGCATGCTATTGAAAAAAAATCTGAAAATTTTGCTAGTCAAGTAAATATTGATAGAATGATGTTATTTCTAAATTATAAATATAAATAAAATTTTTTAAATATATATAATATTTATGTATTTATTTTCTATAAAAAATATATATTTATATTTAATTATTATATTTAATAAATATTATTTTATTTTAAAAATTATATTAATTAGTAAAGTTGAAAATTGTGTAATAAAGTAAATATTGATAGAATGATGTTATTTCTGTATTATAAATTTAATAGCATGCTATTGAAAAAAAAATCTGAAAATTTTGCTAGTCAAGTAAATATTGATAGAATGATGTTATTTCTAAATTATAAATTCAATAACATGCTAGTGAAGAAAAAAAATCTACAAAGATAGGTACAACTAATTAATCATTCCAACAACTAATTAATAATTTCAACAGAACATAAAAATTGAAATAATGTTGGGACCAGTGCATCTAGGAAAAATCCAGGACCAATGCATTTGGGAAAAAGCCTAGATGCACTGGATCTGGTTGGCTTGGGCAGTATTTTGACATTGCTGCTGGGGTAATATCTAGGTTGATGTGCCATTGGTCTTTGTTTGATCTTCCAGTTGCCATTTTGGTGTGTTAGTCATCTTCCCATTCCCACTGATAATCATACTTGCATTAATGATCATTCTAATGTACCTTATGTTGGTTATGACTACACTTCCCATACAGGATTTAATTTCCAAGATTAGTAGGTCTCTGTTTCTTGTTTTCTTCTTGACATTTGAAGGTTTCCAATACTTGTCATGGAGAAGTTTTTCTTCTTGCCTACTATAGCTTTCTGAGAAATTTAAATCAAGATTATGATCATTGCTCCTGTATTGTTGAGTTTATCTCTCCAACAGTGGTCATCTCTCTAGTATTGTTCTAGTTGCCTTTTTAGCTGTGATTTATGGGGACCACTTCGTATTTATGCTATTTTCTTATTGTAAAAGATTTGTTTCGTTACAAGGTTAGGTTTAGTAAACTTTAGCTTGAGGGGGCACGTTAAAAGGTCTGGTAAATATTCCTAATATCCTGACGTATCTTAGAATCATTTGGAGTATCTTCGATGCTCTTGATACTAAGATTTCAAAATTTATCTTTATTTGGCTCTATTACCATAAGAGGAATGTGCAGTATTTTGTCTATCATGGATAATCGTGATTGGTATTTCGTAGTGACTGTATTTATGTGTTTTCTTTTTATTGGTTTGGTTTCGAATAATTAATCTTGCTTGCTGAATTACATCTATCTCATTCAGTTTGGATGTATTGACATAATGGGTAGCTAATATATAGTTCTGAGTCAATCATACTTTCCCTTTGCATACTGTCTTTCACTGTATTGGTTTTAATATTGTTTCCATTTCTTTTCAGGGCAAGACATCTCTGCCATATGAACCTGTTTATAGTGACCAGCAAGCAAGGTAATTATAGTTTTCTAAATTCATCTTGTTTCTCTGATTATATTCAGTGTTTAAAAAACTTAATGCTTTCGTATCACTTTGTATTCAGTAATATTATATTTTATGTTTTGATGGACATATAATATCCAGAGTGTCAGTATAAATGGAACTCAGAATCAGTATCAAATATTATATTATGCATTTAACGTAGATTTATTTGATTTGAGTTATAAGAATAATATAGATGGATTTATATAGGAACTTGGGTATTACGGGTTATCTATATCCCACATTGTGTAGTATGAGATGCTTGGTGGAGTATTTAAGTGTTTTTCTCCCCGCTTTAATAGTCAACGTTTGAGGATGGACTCCAGAAGTAGCGTGCTTATCAATTTGATATTAGCTATTAGAGAAAAGTAAATATCCTCTAATTATGTAACAATAATGCAATATTTCTATATAAACCAGTTTTGACGTGTAACTGAGACACTGTTTTCCAGCCAATTAACGTCTCTTCTTTCTCTCTTTTTCAACATGGTAAGGGAAAGCTTATGGTGTTGTTTCTTATCAACTTTTCAATGTCGGTATAGTATAATTACAGATTTTCTTACTCTGATTCTGTCATTAAGGTAATTAATGAATAAAAAGGAGAATATGAACGAATGAATTTATATTCACTGCCCATTTGGGGGAAGAACAGCTTGAGATTTCAGGTGTATTAGAAATGGATTAGTGTTTGACTCAATCCTACAAAACCAGCTTCTAAGGTGGTGACATTTGCACCGCTATATATTATAATTTGTACATTTTTCTAGATTATGTGAGGTCTCTAACACACCCCCTCACATCAAAGAATGATTCCCTTGTCGATGTGGGATCCCCAACAATGTGGGGGTTTTACGAAGAACGTGTTTAATTTTGTGAGGATGATATGGTAATCATGATGAAATTGGCTTATGACAACATTGAGTATTTGCTTATCCTTATGTTTTGGTGTGGTGTTGTTATGATAGCTATTTCATGGCAATGTTATATTGAAATTGGTGGGCTGTATAGGTCTAGTTACACTTACCTCCTTGGATTCTCATGTTGCATACGAGTTTAATTTATCAAACCAATCTTTGATGCACGAGTTTTGTTTATTAACACAATTTTACCTGCTTCCCTTATAAACTAACCGTAGTGAAGGAATAAAATGTCTGCAATACTGGAGAAAAACTTGATTTAGCTGCAGAAATAGTATCCTTTGGTAATCAGTTCTCTCCATCTCTAACACCATTTTTCATTGCCTTCTAGATTTCTCTCTGAGTATAGATTTGATGTCTCAAAATTGGAGCCAGTGGTGGCCAAGGTTAGTCTTTTGTGTTTGCCTTTGCAGTGAGGTTTTGTTCTGTGTTTATTTTCTATGCTGTTGTGTTATTAATATCTGATTCTGCCACTAGGTTCCTTGGCTAATATTATGCTTATAAATGTTGCAGCCTCATTCGCCTGATAACCGTGCTTTGGCAAGAGAGTGCAAGGATGTAAAAATTAACAGAGTATATATAGGATCTTGCACAGGTGGGAAAACAGAGGATTTCATGGCTGCAGCAAAAGTTTTTCTGGCCTCAGTAAGTGATATGAATAAACCACCTATCACCAAGATATACAGTCACAAGAAACAAACAAAAGAAGCAACTATCCTAGACTACCAGCAACAAGGCACACATCACTCAAAGGATGCAAAACACCTATCAGTTACAATCCATCCAAGGGGTATAAAGTCAAAGGATGCGAATTAAGGGGCATAACCCTTAGAATAGAGATATAACCATTAGGAAAAGTTGTATCAACTGAGAAAGGTTGTTAAAAGCAATATAAATAGAAGTAATCCAAATTAGGAAATACACAAAAAGGAAATTAGGAAAGAATTGTATTGTGGAGAGATAGGCTCTCGAAAACCTGTGTTATAAAAATATCTCAAAATTATTATTATAGATTCTATTCATTTTTCAATCTTGTCTAGTTATTTGTTCATATCAATTTGGTATCAGAGCACGATGAGGTGCTTTGCTTCTAAAAATGGTGAAAATTAGTTCTAATTTTGATAATCATGACACAATGGAGAGGATTTTGGAGATGCTGATGGTGGACTGACAAAATTGAGATGCAGAATGACAACAACTTGAAACACGTTTTGCACGAATAGAAGTCATGGTAGAAAATCTGTCCAAGCATTCAGAAAATGGCTCACCTTCATCAATGGAGAAAAAACACCCAAGAACCAGGCCAGGGAAGAAAAAATAGAATGATGGAGAAAATTGGAAATCCCTGTATATGATCGAGAATATGATGCCTATAGATGGATAAATAAATTGGAACATTTCTTTCAAATGAGATGTACTAGAAGAAGAGAAAATTCAAGCAGTTATTCAAATGAGATGTACTAGAAGAAGAGAAAATTCAAGCAGTTATTGTGGCACTAGATGGAAAGGTGCTATCTTGGTTCCAATGGTGGGAAACTTGCAACTCTAACATTGGATGGGGAGAATTCAAAGTTGTCATTCTTGAAAGATTCCAAACTTCAGCCACTCTCAACCTTTTTGATGCTCTCCTTGCACTTAAACAAGAAGAAATGGTAGAAGAGTATGTTGAACAATTCGAAAGGTTTGCATGTATGTTGCAAAATGTTGGTGAAGAACATTTATAGGACATTTTTGTGAATTGATTGAAGGAAGACATTGGGGCAAAAATTAAACTCTATGAACCCCTCACTTTATCAATCATTGTCAAGATGACATTTGTTAGATATTATTTAAATATTATTTGATATTGTTAAAATATTATTAGATATTGTTAATCACAATATCAACCAATATCTTCTATTTACTCTAATTATTTTTTTGTTACTCTTTTAGTTGTACCTCTCTATTATAAATAGATTACCCTATGTGTGGTTTATACATAGGGAGATTAATCTCAAACCCTATTTTCTCTATATTCATCATGGTATCTAGAGCTTAAGGATATTTTGAAAAAAAATTTCGCCCTGTCCACTACCACGACCGTCGCTATTGTCGGAGTCGCCGCCATTGTCGGAGTCATCGTCAGAGCCACCGCCTGAACCGCCGTCGGAGTTTCATTTTTTTACTAGCGACATACGGTTTTGCTCGTCTCGGTCAGGCAACCACCGTACAGTTGAGATTACCACTATCAGAGTTGGTAATTCGTTGTCTCCAATGTCGTTTAGTCTCGACAGACATATTTTGGTCTTCTCGTTTTTTGATCTGTGTTTTGTGGGTTGATTGGACTATTTTTTTTTAGGGTTTGTTCTACCTCCCTTCATGACTTCTTCCGCTTCTGTTTCATCCGACACACCTGTTATTTCAACATATTTCTCAAATGATATAAGGATCAATAGTTTTCTAGTTCCAATGCGTCTATCGCACACACATGTACATTTTTTGCTGGTCTGACCCAATCTTCTTCTCTTGGTCCTTGGACTTTTTATTCAGGAGCTACTGGTAACAAACCTTCTGTTACATTGGCTGATAACTCTAGAGTATCATCTCATGGTGTTGAAACTATTGAACTTTTCCCTTTTTTAACCATTGATAATGTTTTTTATGTCCCTGGGTCTCCTTTTAACCTATTGTCCATCAGTCGTCTAACTCGTTCTCTTGATTGTGTTACTTCTTTTACCAACAATTCTGTGTTTACAGGACCCGAGTTCGAAACAGGTGATTGGTACAAGATATGAGTCTCATGGTCTTTATCATCCCCGTCCCTCTACACATGTTTGTGCAGTTATGGAGTCTCCCTCTCTTCTTCATGCTCAGTTAGGTCATCTAAGCCTTGCCAAGTTACAGCAACTTGTCCCTACCTTGTCCAAGTTGTCTAGTTTGGTATGTGAGTCATATCAATTAGGTAAATATAGTCGTATTTCCTTTCCTCGTAGTGTCACACGTGGCGCTTCGTCCCCTTTTGCCGTGATTCATTTTGACATTTGGGGATCTAGTCACGTTAAGTCTACCTTAGGTTTTCAATACTTCGTTACTTTCATTGATGATTATTCCAGATGTACTTGATTATTTTTGATGAAAAATCGTTATGAATTATTTCATATCTTTTAATCTTTTTTTAATGAAATTCAAATTTAGTTTGATATTTCTATTAGAGTTTTGCCCAGTGATAATGACCGTGAATATCTTTCTTATTCTTTTAAACAATTCATGGCTTCTCACGGTATTTTATATCAAACTTCTTGTACTTATACACCTCTACAAAATGGTGTAGCTGAACGTAAAAATAGACATCTTATTGAAATAACTAGCACTCTTTTAATTCATGGAGAGATTCTTCAACATTTTAGGGTGATGTTGTTCTTACTGCATGTTATCTTGTTAATCACATGCCTTCTTCAGTTTTAGATAATAAAATACCTTATTCCATTTTATTCCCTCATGAACCTCTTCATCCCTTACCTCTAAGAGTTTTCGGATCTACATGTTTTGTTCATAATTTCAGTCTTGGTTTTGACAAGCTTTCTTTTAGATCACATAAGTGTGTTTTCTTATGGTTTACAAAATCACAAAAATGATACAAATGTTTTTCTCCTTCTCTTAATCGTTATTTTGTGTCAGCAGATGTTACCTTTGATGAGTTCTTCCTTTATTTTAAAAGTCAATCTTCACCTCTGTCTCCATCCAATCCTGTCAACACTCCTAGAATATTTAATGTTCCTCTTGTTTGTGACCTTCTAACTGTGTCTTCTTCATCATTAGTTCCTACTTCGCAGTTAGCTTCTTCTCCATCGCCTCTTCAGGTTTATAATCGTCGAAACCGATCACAACCACCACCATGTGACTCCATTCAAGTGCCAACTACTTTGTTTCCTCCGGCTCTGACACATTAGTTTGACCTTCCCATTGTCCTCCGAAAAGGTATCTGTTCTACACGTAATCCCTCTCCCTATTATATTACTTTGACTTATCATTGATTATCATTACCTTTTTATACATATCTTTCCTCAATTTCTTTTGTGATCATTCCAAAAATTGTCTATGAAGCTTTAGTCCATTCTGGTTGGCGTCAGACAATGACAGATGAACTAAGTGCTCTTCATAATAGTGGAACTTGGGAATTTGTCCCGTTATCGTCTGTGAAATTTGTTGTTAGTTGCAGGTGGGTGTTTGCTATCAAAGTTGGACCTGATGGTACTATTGATTGTCTCAAAGCTCGTCTTGTAGCCAAAGGTTATACTCAAATTTTTGGGTTAGATTATGGAGATACCTTTTCCCCCATAGCAAAGATGGCTTCTGTTCGTTTATTTATCGTCATGGTTGTTCAACAATGGTCCCTTTATCAACTGAATGTTAAAAATGTTTTTATAAATGGTGATTTGCAAGAAAAAAATCTATATGGAGTAACCTCCTGGGTTTGTTGCTCAGGGGGAGTCCTCTGAGATGTTATGTCATCTTCGCAAATCCTTATATGGCCTAAAACAATCTCCTGGGGCCTGATTTGGAAAGTTTAGCAATGTTGTTCAACAATTTGGTACGACTCTGTATGAAGCAGATCATTCTGTATTATATCAACACTCGAGTACGGGATGTGTTTACTTGATAGTATATGTTGATGACATCGTTTTTACAGATAGTGACAATCATGACATCTCTCAGTTGAAACATCTCTGTCACCATTTTCAGACCAAAGATCTTGGCAAACCCAGATATGTCTTGGGTATTGAGGTGGCATAGTTCAATGATAGTATTGTTATATCTCAGAGGAAGTATGCCATGGATATTTTGGAGGAAACTGAGTTGATGAGTTCAAAATTTGTTGATACACCCATGGATCCCAATACTAAACTTCTACCAAATTAGGGGGAGCCTATATCTGATCCTGAACAATATAGAAGATTGGTTAGAAAATTGAATTATCTTACAGTTACTCGTCCTAACATTTCTTTTGCAGTTAGTGTGGTAAGCCAATTTCTTAATTCCACATGTAAAGATCATTGAAATGCAGTCATTCGTATCTTGAAGTATATTAAAGGATCTTCTAGAAAAGGATTGTTATATGATTCTAATAACCATACGAGAGTTGTTTGTTACTCAGATGCTGATTGGGCAGAATCTCCTTCTGATAGAAGATCCACATCTGGGTATTGTGTTTCCATTGGTGATAACTTGATCTCGTGAAATAGGAGTTGAAGAGTTGTTGGACGAAATAGGAGGGGTTCATGTGTTTTCAAAACTAGATTTAAGATCAGATATCACCAAATTAGGATAAAAGATGTCATTGCAAATATCGCTTTCCACACACATGAAGGACATGTTATTTCTGCTGGAGGAGTATCTGTAGATCCTAAGAAGTTGGATGCAATAACACTATGGTCTACACCCAAGAACGTCACCAGCTTAAGGGGATTCTTAGGACCTACTGGCTATTATAGGAGGTTTCTTCATAATTATGGAAGAATAGAGAGGCCATTAACCAACTTGTTAATGAAAAATGTCTTCCAACAACTTAAACAAGTCATGACCAGATTGCATGGATTTCTGTCTTACATTGTTTCATATCGTGACCATCTATTTTTAAGCAATTTCTGGAAAGCCATTTTTAAAGTAGTAGGTACACAACTGAAGTTCATTTCAGCATACCATCCCCAAACTGACGGATAGACGAAAGTTGTCAATCGATGTTTAGAAGTGTATTTACGATGTTTAACTGGAACAAAGCCTAAGAAATGGGTCTCTTGTCTTCTTTGGGCCGAATTCTGGTTTAACACCAATTATAATGCTTCCAACAAAATGTCCCTTTGAAAGCTTTGTATGGACATGATCCCCCTCACATTCTTAAGGGAATCACCATCCCTTTCCCCCTTGAAGAAGTCAACAAGCTTGCTCGAGTGATGTCATACGAACAATGATGTCATACGAACAAATGCAACAAATGTCGATGTGATATAGAATATGCATTTGGTGATTGAGTGTTCTTGAAAATGCAACCTTACAAGAGAAGTTCCTTAGCTAGAAGGATTAATGAAAAACTCTCTCCTCGATTTTATGGTCCTTTCCAAGTGTTAAAAAAAGTGGGTGTTGTTGCTTACAAATTGGATCTTCCATCTCACAGTAAAATTCATGAGTCTTTCATGTCTCTCTCCTCAAGAAGGCTATTGGTGATTCTTTCCAGTCCTAACCTTTACCATCTTTGTTATTTGAGAATCAAGAATTACATGTTTATCCAGGTTCTATCTTAGGTATTCTTGAACTACAACCTGACAACGTGTAAGTCTTAATTCAATGGCAGAATCTCCCTCCGAGTGAAAATAGTTGAGAATTGGTAGCTAAAATATAAGAGGTTTTTTCAACTTATCACCTTGAGGACGAGGTGAGTCTTTTAGGCGGGGGTAGTGATAAGAATAAACTACCTATCACCAAGATGTACACCCGCAAGAAACGAACAAAAGAAGCAACAATCCTAAACCACCAACAACAGGGCACACAACACTCAAAAGAATGCAAAATATCCAATAGTTACAACCCATCCAATGGGTATAAAGTCAAGGGATGCGAATCAAGGGCATAACCCTTGAAATAGAGATATAACCATTAGGAAAAGTTGTATCAATTAGGAACGGTAGTTAGAAGCAGTATAAATAGAAGTAATCCAGATTAAAAAACACACAAAAAGAAAATTAGGAAATAATTGTATTGTGGAGAGACAGGCTCTATAATCTGTCATAGAAGATGTTAAATTATAATAAGATATTACTGACAGATTTTCTAGCCTAATCCTAGACTTTTTTACTATTTCTAAGTACTTTTCTTTCCAGTTGTTAGTACGGTATAACCAAGAAGTATCCTAAAATGTCTGGGACTGATTTGCTTGTTTTCGTATATGGTATTTTATCTTGCATAACTGTTAGAATTTACCAGCCTTTTCTGACATTTGCGCCTATTTCTCTCTCCTATGAATTTTTGAATTTAAGTGGAAAAGAAAGTGATAGGACTGAATATTTTAGCGAGAATTTAGATAATGGGATAATGTGATTTCTTATTCAGTAGAATGTGTTACATGGGTATTGCAAGACATTGGCGGAGACTATTTCGTAGGCTACTATTGCAAGACATCCTATTTCGTAGACTATTTCTTATCCAGCCACTAGTACCCAGATGTGGACTAAATGCATTTTATAATTTTGATACGTAAACTTATTATATCCTATGTCCATTAACTATTATTATTTCCAACATGAATACTACAACTACTTACCTAACTTAGAACACGATGTCTGAATCTGCAGGGTAAAAAGGTCAAAGTTCCCACGTTTCTTGTGCCTGCTACACAAAAGGTCTGACAAAATATTTCATGTTTATATATCTTTATGTTAATTCATTTACAGTTATTAATAAAGTTCTCTTCGGAAATCATTATGAATATTTTCCAACTTGTATCTATTAATGGAATTTCAGGTGTGGATGGACGTGTACACCATCCCAGTCCCTGGATCTGGTGGTAAGACTTGCTCTCAGATATTTGAAGAAGCTGGGTGTGACACTCCAGCTAGTCCTAGTTGCGGTGCTTGTTTGGGTGGCCCTAAAGATACCTATGCACGCATGAATGAACCTCAGGCAAGTTACTACCAGCATCTTGTAATCTACACAATTAGTTCAAATTCTCCTCTGTTAAATTTATCCTTAATATATTGAACGAATTGAAAATCTTGGCACTCACCTGTATTGGGCTAAGGATAATTTCTTTACATTTATATGCTTTCTACACAAGTGATGATATCCCGAGTCTGAATAGTTTACTCGATTGCTTACGTGCTGGTTGTGTAGGTTTGTGTTTCGACTACGAACAGGAACTTCCCAGGTCGAATGGGACATAAGGAAGGTCAAATATATTTGGCTTCCCCATATACAGCTGCTGCATCTGCATTGACTGGTTATGTTACTGACCCTAGAGAGTTCTTGCAGTAGGATGTAGTTACACCTGTTCTGCTATACACGCTGGTTAGTTGTGTATTCTCTATCCATGAGTTAAAAATGGAAGGATGACAAATAAATTAGTTTTTTGTTGTCTGAAGAAATTGGATGTTAAAAGAGATTGGTTCATCTGGTGCCCGTTGAGTATGGCTTGGCCATTGTTGTTACAGTTACAAGAATGACTGGTTTCCATATAGATTTTCTTGTCAATCCAGGTTTTAGTAACTGTCTTCTGTTTGTTCTAAGTTTATCTTGAGAGTCATTCATATATGTATGTGGGTAGGAAAATTCAGATCAACATAATGTTCAAATAGGAAATTTACTAAATTGGATGTTGTTCTAAAAAGTGGAACCTCCTTTATTAGCTTTTGTAAAAACTTCTGTTCACTTGAAAGAAAAGATACTTTTATCCATAAGAACTATTCCGATGGTACTTCTTTCAATTAGAATGTAATATGGGAAAAAAAAAATCATTAAATGCCACTGTGAATTGAAAGTCCAAGTTTGATTAGAGAACAATAATAAAGTTATAATAACTATATCTAATTTTTATTCCTTTTGAATTTGTGTTTCACCCAACTATTCTTTCAATTGATTGAGCCAAATGCCACCTCAGGAAGTTTTATTTACCCTTATTTAGAGACAAGTATTAGAGTAAGTTTAACTATGAAACGGTTGCTTTGACCAAATTTATCTGTTCGTAGTGTTGTTGGAGTTCAATTTTTTTTTTTAATTTTTTTCCAATTAGCATTGTTTACTGCTGGTAAAAAAGGTCACCAAATTTCTGTTTAAAGTATGATTGGAGTTCAGTTTTTTCAATTAGCATTGTCAAATGTTTGTAAAGGTAGTTTTTTATGCCATCATAGTAGTAATAATGAAATTGGTGGGAGTTAACACATCTCAAGATACTAATTTTACCAATACCAGAAATAAATTTTGAACAGTACTTTATTTCATCAGTCTAATAAAATCTAAATAACATATAAATCAACTCATCTCAAACTAGTTGTGTGTTGGATACATCAAGTTTCGGCCTTTGAGAAATGCATATTCGGCCTTCGCTTCACATAAATCTATGTATTTGGTCTTATTCATATTTAATGAAGCATATTTGTCACAGTAACTCAAATTATTATTTTCTAACAAAAGTGAATGTGACATGGTTTTATAACAATTTTATACGATAGTTAAATAAGTGAATATCTTCAAATATTTCAAAGTGAAAAAAAAAATGTTTATGGTAGTAAATTAAACACCATCAACATCAAACATCTAAAAATATATTCTAAAACACAAACAAACAAAGATCATATGATTTTCAACAAGAAATTCATCAGAAAGAGAAAGGAGTACAAAAGAATTGGCTTAAAATAAATATAAAAATGAATACAATGAACAAAGAAGATAGAGAGTTTACACAAATTCTCAGATATTATTCTTATCTTCATGTTCAACCAGCCATGCATGCATCCCAATACTCTTCTCTTCTTATACAAAGCTTTCATTGTCCACTGACTGAACCCGGTGACGGCGATGCTTCTTTCCGCCGCCGCCGCCACCACTGCCGCAAACTATGGAGCACTCAACACCACATATTACACTAAAGCAAGAGAACAAACCATTACCATCTGCTTGTCTACGTGGATGCTTCCCTCTCTTCTTTGATCCAATCACATCGTCGATACCATCATAAACCGTTGGTAGTTCCGTCTGCCACCTCTCCACTTTAGGTTGCAGCCCCTCCACGCTATCCTCTAAGCTCCACCCTCCTACTGTAGATTTCTCCCCCTCCTCCATTGGTAGTCTTGCCACCACCGCTGCTACCTCCGAAGCTGAAGGACCCAATTCAGAGTCTGTCATGAAAGGACGATGGCCCAAGTTTGACCGGTATGGAGTGCCATATTCCATTGCCATGTCTGTCATTGCAAATGGATGGAATGGAGTGCCTTTTGCACTACCTATGTAATTGTGGTCGTTGTTATGGTAAGTCCTCATTGGTGTGGACTTCACATGGTAATCAACATTTACCCTTGCATTGAAGTTGTTTTGTGAGTCATGAGACGTTACTTTTGCCTTCTTTCTACTAAATTTGTTTACATATGAGCCACTTAAGATGGAGCTAGCTTTTTTTTTACTTTTGGTGCTTATTTTTGAAGGGATAACAACATGAGAATTTGCTTTCTTCCTTTTAGCCTTGGCTTGTGGCTCGGGAGCTATGGCTTCTGAGCCAAGCATTGAGCTTGAGTCACTCTTTGTGCGTCTAAGCTCTGGTTTGGGCTGATGGGTTGGTTGATCATGATCATCTCGACTATACCCAACAATTGGAGATTTTTGTGTGTAAAGAGGCATGCTTCGCATGGAGCTGTCAATTATAGCTGCACCAACGTTCAAAATCCCTTTGGGGCGACCAGAGGGTCTTTGAACTTGGAGTCCCATAAACCGCATACCCATTGGTTTGTAAGTGTTTTGTGGGGGTTGAGGTTGTGAAGATGGTGGTAAAAGGTCACTCGAGAGAACGTAGGCTGTGCCCACATGGATGTCTCGGAACCAATGAAGAGCATAAATGTCGATAGTAATCACTGACTCTTGGTCATATAAAAAATCTTGGTCAATTCGAAAGACAAACTTGTCATTCCATGTTGGATTGGTTCTGCCTTCAGAATCAACCCGAGTGGAAAGTTTGCGATCTGGGTCGATCCATGCAACTGCATAGGTTCGCATTGAACGACCTGCTGGAGCCAAGTCTTGTGCTGATATGACATTGAGTTCTAGGAGTTGGTAACATGCTAGAATGTTAGACATGATACCACTGATAGCAATGACAATCAAATCGCATCAACAAGATGAGGGAGATTGGAAATGCAAGGTTGGTTTGAGTTGATGATAATAACAAGCAAGAGGGAATTGAAATGAAAGTATTAGTTAGTTGTTGTGTTTATCACAATCTCTCTTCTGCTTGAATGCTTTGGACTGAATTACAATGGTGAGTGAGTTTAATGAAGGTAGATATTTGTTGAAAAGGGGGAATAATATTGTTGCACTAACGACAACAACTCAAAGGGGGTGTTGAAAAATTTTCGACCCTTAAATTGGTCCCTTATTTAGGGATCATGATTGGAAAATTGTGTTCATCTGATTTTGGTCTATATTAGGACTAATTTGTTAGTAAAAGCTGTTTTATAAGACTTGCAATAGTGTCATTACAAAGCATATCTACCTGTCTTAAAGTGACAACTTTCCACGACTTAGTTTGGGTTTAACTGTGTTATTGTGACATATATAGTAAAGATTTTATGTACAACTGCGGATTTACTAGTTACACTTCTATAATTAGCTTAATCTATGACAAAAAATGTCAGCTAAAGATGAGATTAGGTTGACAAATAAGTCAATACTGGTAATTTTTCTTTAATATACCATTTATTGTCAAGTATTATATCTTAATTAGGGTTGTATAGATTTACTACCATGGGCGAAGCTGAGATATAGGATAGGTAGGCAGAAAAAATGGTGAGAGTCCTATTTTGATTTATACTATTTAGGTTATTTAGGTAATGTCCATATGGGTTGAAGTCTTACGATAATATCTAAAGACCTGATTTATAAAATAATAATTATTTTTTAAATAAAAATAAAAATAATATTATTTTATTAAAAAAAAAAATATATATATATATATATATATATTATAAATTAATATTAAAAAAGTCACATTTTTTAATAACTATTTATTCAAATATCTAATGATTAAGATTAATTATTATTTAAGATTAATAAATTACTAAAAAATAAATAATGACAGGGAAGAATAAATTTAAAATTTTTATTTTGAGAATAAATATAATCTATATATTAAATTATTATATTTTAAATAAAAAATAATTTTATTATATAATTTAAATTTTAAAAATATATTTTATTTTTAATTTTTATTTAAATATTTTTTAATTAATTGATTTAATATAAATATATTAATTTAAATAATCAAGCTAAAATTGACCTATTAACCTAACATAGAACCAAACTAAGTTAAAAGGTTTGACAGTTTTAAAATATAAATTAGAATGGATGATTAATAGTCATCATTTTGACCCTAATGTTTATTTTGATAAAAGTTTATATAGATATTTAGGAGATATAAAAACATATCCAACATTTATAGCTTCTTATTTCTTTTAAATTTTTTTCTTACATTAAAATAATTTAAGTGAATTTTATAATTTTGCATAATATTTAAAGAATTCATGCATAAACTAAAAATGAAAGAGAGAATGACCAAAGTGAGAGGCATCAAACATCATGTGACTATTTTTAATGAGATTTTATTTTGAAAAGTAAATTTGATTTTAATTATTAATATTATATTATTTTGTTCTTTGATAGTAAACTCTTTTTCCACTTGGCTTGGCCAAATGTTGAATAGCAAATGCCTATTCCTGGTTCAGATACTCTGATCAAGCCGACAATGATTAAACATGTGTTTTAATTAATACATTAATAAGAAAAATAAACAAAAGAAATTAACTTATTTGAGTAGACTTTGATTAATTTTTCCATTTAACCAATTTCCCAGATTGTTCAGGGGGGTGACAAAGCTGTTTGATTAGTTTTCAAGTTAACCTGGCGTATCCAAGCTTATTTTTCCATCTATGATCAGGAATAATACAGTTAAAAGGTGAAGGCCAATGCAAACAAGAAAAATTGAACCACCAATACAGTTAAAAGAATTAATATCGAAGAATTGTTACAAAACAAATAGATTTCAAATCTTCAATCGGAATAAATAAATGTCAGGTATTTTAAACACATTTCCAACTAAACATCGAATTCATGGAGAAATAAATGAAACAAGAATCTCCTTGAACAAAATTTATCAAAAAAGCGAAAATATACCATCCATATTCCCTTAACTTAATTTAAGACATGAAAAATATCAATATTTGGTCTAATCTACTGAAGTTGACGATTTAGTTGAATATCTGGACCCAAAATTGGATTCTCTAGCTGGAGTTTTTTTGTTGACTCAGGACTCGGCAAGGTTCTGCCCATTTCTTGGTATTTGATGATGCCCTGAACTTCCCCTTTCTTGGCGAGGACTCGGTCGATAGAAACCATTTCCTTTCGATTTGTTGTACTCCCTATCAACACCATCTAGGCCATTTCCTCTGCCAAAGCTCCTAGAATTGAAACGCCCCCTTGGTGCCTCTGCCTGATAGCTACCTCTGCCTCTACCCCGTCCTGATGATAATACATTGGAAATGAGTAGAGGTAACCAAGCAGGAAAAAAGTAGCTTAAAAATATTGAACTACGTAGAAAAACATGGAGACTTTGGGGAAAACAAAGGGTGTCATTCACCTCTCTGAAACTATATTGTTACATAAAATATTGCTAGTCAAATTGTGTTGGACATAAATAATTTTCATAATTTATGATTCATAATAAATGATGCATGAAGCTTGCCAAATCAAAATTTAACATGTCTCTGTCAATTTCAGATGGAACAGTCACCAAACAGTGAGTAGTGACATATTAGAGCTAGAGGAAATCAAAGTAACCTCGTGTCATCCTATGACAAAATTTAGCATATTATAGTTAAATTTGTATTTGTTACAAATGCAAGTCGCATGAGGATCAATTACCAGTCCCATCAACTCATATTTCAATTGGCAAAAGTGGAAACACAAATTCATCATTTTAGCAAAAGTTGGACATACATGATGACCAACTTTCAAGAAAAAAGGCAGAAGAAAAATTAAAAGATTTAAAAAAATCATACTTCCTCCTCGAGAAGGGATGTTACTGTTTGGTCTCCTTTCTTCAATGTATACTTGTCTTCCTGCTATCTCAACAGATCCTGTCTGCAAAGATAAAAAAAATTATGATTTTACATTCTTCGACACCAAGAAGCAAGTTCAGTATAAGTTTTGGGTCAAGGTGCATGACAATTCATCAGTAAAAATGCATATCCCAAACTTATCATTAAAAAGTAAATACAAACCTTGACCGCATTATGAACGCCTGTCATATCTTCAAATTCAACAAATGCATAACAAACCCCAACATCCTGAATACAGGTGAAAAGTTTAGATTCAAAACCATAATTAATAGTTAGCTGAAGATGAGTAGTTATCAACCTTGCGACTTCTAATGACAACACCATCAGGCCTGATTCTACCAAAATTCTTGAATTCCTCTTCAATTTCAGAAGGAGACACAGTGGGCGACAAGTTTCTCACATAAACAGACTTGATTTCATCTGAAAGCAATTCCAAGCAAATCAAGATTATTGGTACTGAACAATGAGTACGTGATACATACTACATGAAACAGTCTTTAAACAAACTAATTTATTAGGTTATCAAACAAAGAGCCAGTGTGCTGAATACAGTAACTAAGGTAATAAATGAACAGAACAATCAATCAATTCTCAACAAGTACACACAGTAACCTTCATCTTCTGTTGCAGGAAGCTCTTCCACTGCATCAGCCTCAGACCTTTCAAATGCATTTGTTGAAGCAGTCGTTTGCTGTTGCAGACTACTACTCTGTGGAGCATGATCCCATTCTGAAGGGGAGACATTTTTATGAGAGGGTTGAGAAGCTACTAATGGTGTAGATTGTCCTTTAGCAATCCGTAACTTCCAAAAGTGATTAACATTGTCAGTTCTAATGTCATAAACAGAAAGAAAACATTATTTGGAAAGTTATATAATAATGGTTATAGCCAGTACATACAATGGAAGCATAAGTATGCTTTTGCGGCTCCCCGGCAGGTTCATCAGGAGAAGCAGGTACATGGTCTTGCACTGCATTCACTGACGATTGAAGTGAACCATTTGACTCTTCAACAGCAGTATCTTCCCTAATATGCTCAGAATCAGGGCCCCGCTGCAATCTTTGCTCTGAAAATCCATAATTATCAACTACACCATTTTCTTTGACCTCATTTGTAGCAACATACTCCCTAGCCTGGATATCTCCACCCAGAAGGTAGTTGGACACTGTAAATATATGGCTCTAAATTACTAAAAAGTTAAAAGCATTCAGAATCATTAATATCGCACAATCAGCCAAATTGTCTATTTACCTGCATTTTTCTTAAAGTAAAGTTGCTTAGTTTCTTCAAAGATTTAAAACCATATAACATCGGAGATAATGAGGTTTGTATTTGTGTTTCACTGACAGCTCACAACTCTATAAAGTAAAAAAAAAAAAAAACTATATTTTTATCAGAAAGGAAACAATTTTATCAATCAACTTGAAGGAGCAAGGGTTTTTTAACTGTTGTCAAAGTGATAATAATATTGGCTATGGCAGTAGACAATGGATAACAAGGTAACAAATACAGTTGGTGACAATAATAAAAAACAACGCTTGTCTAACAGATAATAACTTGAGGGATAAGGGGGAGACAGTTTAAGGTGTTAGGATTTCCAATTAAAATGTTTGACAAACTTCTCGATAAAGACTTGTGGGAGAGGAAAATAAGAAAAAAAATGTGAAATGAACTTCTCCATAAGTTAAACTTAGCTTACACACAAGTTGAAAAATAAAATTTAGAGAAACAATATGAGAGAGTTTCTACAAATTAGTTTATGAATAAGCTAATACTTTTTAACACAGACTCTAAACAATCTCATTATCTCATCCACAATTCGCATAGAAGCATAGGTAACACTCAGAGAGACACAAAGTCACATTGATATAACTTCTAAGGATTATATTCATGAGAAACAGTTTTACTTTTCTTTGTTTTTTAATTGCAATTTGCAATAAGTCACATCAATTGCATATAGAGCCAGAGAAAAATTATATAGGTACGGGGCAACCCTAAACCTCTCAAGCCAGTTTCTGTAGGGTTTGATTAGACTCAACCCCAAATTCTAAGATGATATCAAAGTCTATCTTAGATCCATTAAAAAAGTTGCTTACCATATTATCCATGCATCAGGCTCAATACTGTTGGGCGTGTCGGGGTTTATATGGGAACAAAATTTCACATTGATTAGAAAGAGATCCTAAAGATAGTATACAAGTGGGGGTAACTCTAACTTACAAACCAATTTTGTAAAGTTGAGTTAAGCTCAAAATCAAATTCTAAGAAATGGGAATTTTTCATTGGACAAAACCCAGATAAACTCAAATATTTGCACTGTCAAATCTCAAATCAAACAAAAACATTTTGATATTTTTTTCAACATTAAATTGATCCCATGGCAGTTGTGTCTACAATTCAGCACCTTCACGTCAAAGAAAACAAGCTGTTGCAGAACTTACCTGGCTTATTGATTGCACTTGAAGCATTCAATTGTGAATCATGATTGCTCTGAGGGAGCAAAACTGCTTGTTGTTGGTGAACTGGATCCTCTTCAACAAAATGAAAAATATCATTAAGCACAAAAAAGCCTTTCTCTTGCGGTGCAAGGAAGAATGTCTGCATAAATTTCCTCCTCTGATTGTAGTCCTTAATTTGCACTGATCCAGAAACCATCACAAGAACACCACCACTCCAAGACTCTAGAGACTGTGCGGTCTTGATTTCAATTCCAGTGTAACTGAGTGACATAATCAGGGCATGGATTTGCTGCCCATGGAAAAGTATTTTTAGTTCATGGGAAAAGGAAAGCAATATTAATATTTGTACATGCATAAATAATAAACAATTACATATAATGCCAGGTCCTTTCAAACAATTAAGGACATAATATAATGTAATAGAGTGCTAAGAATGAACTAGAAGCATCCAAGAAAAAAAAAAATGAGATGATCAAATGTTTCATGCATTCATATCACAAATATCTAGTTTAGACATTAGAAGGCTAACTTATGTAACATTTAGATAGCTAAGAAAAATTAGAAATACTATTCATGTTCAGTCTCTTATTCATCAAGACTAGATCTGTGAATATTGTATATAGGAGCAGTTATTCAACTGCCTCCTGGGGAGTTATTTCAGTTAAAAGTTTTAGTTTCTTGCCAGCTGTATGGCATCTGTATTTGTAACAGTTAAGTATCTCTATAAATTCTCATGTTGTAGTAATTTTCTCATATATGAAAAATAAAGAATTCAGAGAGCTATTTTTTCTTTCTTTTCGCTTGCAATGTTCTTTCAGTTTCTTTGCTAATATGGTGTCTAAAGTCTCATCTATAACAACTTCAAATCTTTCTCCCTCTTTCATACCCTCTGCATTCACTCATCAGATTTCAAAACAAGTTATCAGAGAAAAGCATTCCCTTATTGTGGCAACAAGTAGACTTAGCAATCAAAGCACATCTACTACAACATTTTGTGGTAAATCCTACAATTCCACCATGATTGCTCACTGAAGTTGATCATGAAGTAGGAACTCTGAATCCTGTGTATCTCTGCTACAAACAAGATTAGGTATTGTTCTCATGACTTCAATCCACTCTTTCTTCTTTGTTTCTGTCGGTCTTCTTGGAAGCATACACTCCTATCAAGTTTGGGAGAAAATTCAAGATTACTTTCACAAACAAACACCTGCAGGGTGTGACAATTATGAACAACGCTTCATGCTATTGTTCTTAAAATAAATTGATGGAATGAATTACTTTCTTCAAATTAAGGCAGGGCACTCACTGATGCATTAAGTTGGCCAACTGGATCCTCCTCACCAATATCTTGATGTTATTATCGAAGGATTACCTAAACAATACAATCATGTTATCACAGTTATTGAATACAATTTCAATCCTCTTCCCATTGAAGAAGCTGAAGCACTACTTCTTGCACATGCAACAAAGTTGAAGAAATTTTGTCATCCATTAATTTGACCCAATCTCAATAATTGAACCCTAATCCCAATTCTAGTTCACTTTGGTTCAATTAACAGAATAACCTCAACCTTCAAAACAAAGTATCTTGACTGAAGTTGCAGATAATTCTTAGGTGGTTCTCATGGTATTTTCTCCAGTTGTGATCATAGGGTTGTGGGTGTCATGATTGAGGTCATGGTGGCCACTTCTCTCACATTCAATGTCAAGTATGATTCAAGTATGGGCACACAGCCTCTCATTGCTATTATCATTTTGATTAACAGTATCACCTCATTCATATTTGTTCTATCAGGATCCTACCTCTCAACAAACCTATAATTCTGTTCAACAACAGCACTACAATCTGCAGACTGCTTAACCAAGATTTCCTAATCCCTGATGTTTTAATGGCTATCAACCACATCCAAGTCAGTTTCAGCAACCATTAGCTATGGTTGCCAGTCTCAATAATGCTAATTGTAAAAGCTGGTATCCTGATTCTGGTGCTTCTTTACATGTAACTGGAAGCTCTCAAAACATTCAGCAGCTTGGTCCCTTTGAAAGCCAAGTGCAAATTTACATTGGCAATGGCCAAGGTTAGCTCATACATTCTTCTATTCTAGTTCTTCTTCCTCTATATCTCCAGAGAGAATCCTAATGTCACTTTGTCATTAAACTAGCTTCTTCATGTGTCTTCCATTACAAAGAATTTAATTAGTGTCAATAAATTTGCAAAAGATAATAGTGTCTATCTTGAATTCCATGAAACTTACTGTCTTGTTAAATCTCAGGTAACCAATTAAGTCTTGGTGCATGCTTTCATGGGTTTTGATGTTTCCATATCTCAAAGCTGCACTATCCTTCATCGGGTTCAGTTTTTTGCTTAGTTTCTTATTCTGTTGTAGCATTTGTAAATTCTCCTGTAATAGAACAAAGAAGAATGCATTGCACAGAGGAGACGAGTTTGACAACGATGCTACGAGCATTGACGATGGCCAAATGAAATGGGGGAAGAAGACACCCTACTCAAGCTAGACCTTGGCTTAGAGAGACAAATCGAAACAAGGCCCAACTCCATCGTTTTCAATGTAGTGCATCTAGGTCACAAACTCGATACCTCAATGTTAAACCTACGAGTCAGCTTGAGTTTGACTGAGTCTACCCTGAGTCAAAACCAGTGTACTCAAAAACGGGTTCACACATGAGCTAACTTGTGGCATTGACGTGACTTGCAAACTTGTCCGAGTTAGCAAGTCAACCGAAGGGTTTGATAACCATGTTTGTATGAATAAACTTGTCTCTTGAAAAAGAAAGAAGTACAATGTTGTAGCCAAGTCCAGAGCAAAGACAAAATATCAAGCAATCGCTATAGCCAACCTAGAGGTCATATGGCTCAAACAATTGCTTCAAGAACTAAGTTTGGGAAGGTTACACAAAAGTCATTTATATGTGATAACCAAGCCACCATGCATATTGCCTCAAATCCTGGATTCTGTGAATGGGCAAAGCATATTAAAGTTGATAGTCACTTTCTAAGGTCATGTTCAGAAATATTTACTAGATTTTAAATTTCCGTGACCAACTAACATCTAGTCACTTAGGGCTCGCCAAAATAAAAACAATATTATAGGAATCTAAATGCATAGCTACCATAATCGAGTCTATATGCAGATTATTCCAGGCCAGGCATTAAAGCAATTTCACAAGTTTTTTTATCATATGAAATAATGTAACTGCTGTTACCAGAATGAAACCAATAAATAAATCCTACCCACATGCATTAAATTCCCAATCACTATTTTGTATCAGGTTTAAATACAAATTCCCCATCTGACACCCACGCTTACCCAATTTAAAGTTTCCATTTCAAAAAAATTGCTCCATAATCTAAAATCACCCGGCTGGCCATCAATATACTAACCAGTAGCATATTATAAAATTCTCTCACAGATGTGCCGCAAATACGGCACACAAATTCCCTCTTCTCATCCACGGCAACAGCTTTTATCTCTTACCTGGATTGCACTCACCAAACTTCTCGTCCACAGTTTATTTTTTGGGTGAATACCCAATTTGGTCCTCAAAGGTGGGAAATGTCTCTCACTTTAGTTTCTAAAAAGTAATCGAGTTAAAAAAAAAGGTTCACAGAAAGTACAATTTGTCACTAGAATTAATAAGTAGAGTTAAGTTTTGGAACTAAGTCACAGCAAAAAGACTTATTTTGAATCTTCTTACTTTCACGACTGAAGTGATAGGTCTCATGATTAAAACACTAAAATAACATCGTCTCCCACACATTTTAGAATTCATCCTTGTTATTTTATCCATTCAAGCGATACCCTCAAACAAAACTGCAATCCCTCAACCACAAAACCCTTCTTCCCCCTCACAATTTCACAAACTACTCCTTTCACTCAACACTACAGCAAAAGCTAGCAATTCTAAAACCACCGAAAACGCTGTCAACAGAACAACAAAAATGATAGCAGTAATTACAAGCATTGCGGCAGCGGTTTCCCTGGTGCTGCCGTCGATTCGGAGCATGGTGCTGGCATCGGAATAAAACTGGTGCACAAACTCCGGCTGGCTCTGAAGCACCTGATAGTACTGTCCCACAAAGTACGTTCCAACCTGAACAAAACACAAAACACGTGATTCGACATGAAGTGAATTAGAAGAAGAAGAAGAAGAAGAGAAAGAAGAAGAAGGAGAATAAGAAGAACCTGGGCTGCGGTAACAGGAATGGGAAAGGGCGTCGCCATTGAAGAGAAAGGAAAAAACCCTTCAAAACCCTAACACCAATTCAGATCCGCAATCTCCCTCCCTCTTCACTGTCTTCCTTTCTTTCAGATCCACACCCACACACAGTGACAAAAGAAGGTAATTTTTATTTTTTTAATAATAATAATAATAATTAATATGATTTTTTTATTCTGATTCTTCACATGTTGGGTTTCTTTATTTTTCATATGCATATGAAGATACTTCTCTACTGTTACGTGTGTGCTGTATTTCTTTTCACCCATAAGTTTCTACGCCATTGATTTTCAAATACGCAAATAAATAAATAAATAAATAAAAATAAAGTAGATAAAACTTCTTCTTAATCCTTTAAAAAAACAAATAGAAACAAGCTTTTTCATACACTAAAATTAATTTACATGGTTTTTCTTATATAAATCTATGCATACCTTAAAAATAAGAATTTATTTAAATTATATACTAAAAAAAATATAAAATAATTTATATATCAACTTATTTTAATTATCAAATAATTGATTTTTTTTTAATGCTTTTAACATGTTCAAAATCTTCTATGTGTAAAGAGCTTTTCTTACCCACTCCATAAAACTTAATGTATGATTAGTTTTAATAAATGAAGAGATAAATTTATTAATTGGATTTAATAGATCTATCCTATAATTTTTTATATTATCAAATAAAAAATTAATCTACTTTGTTTTGGAGTATTTGGAGTCTTTATTGTTGATGCATGAGTTATTTTTTAAATCAATTTTATATAACAGTATATGTAATAAAATAATATTTTAATTCATTGTTATATATATATATATTATGAATAAAATAAAAATTTATTTAATTATTTAAATGGTTATAATAGATAAATATATTTAACCTAATAAATTTGTATCGAATTAGCTCGGATTATAAATAAGGTATTTTATATTAGTGGACTATTTTGAATTATTTTAAAATAAATAATTAAATTAATTAAAATTTAAAATATAATAATTTAATATATATTTATAATTTTTATCATAAAAATTAAATTCATTGTTATGATTTTATAATTATTATAAAAAATTATAATTTATTTTGTTGATTAACGAATAAAAATATTAAAAGTATAAAATTAATATTTTTTAAAATGAAATTAATAATCATAGTTTTTACTGTGGGAGAAATATTAGTCATGTTAAAAAAAATGGTAACATTTAAATATAAATACTTTTATATTGTAGTACTTTTAATAAAATATTTAAAACTCTAGAATCATATTACATTTATTAAAATTACCACCATATTAGTCTTGATATATGAAAATTTATTTAAAAATTATAACTATTTTCTAACACCAATTATGTATGACTTATTTTCTCATAAAATTGTTAGAAGAATAATTTATATATACTTAAAAATTATACATTAAAACCTTTAACAGTTTTTTATTAAGGGTTTATTTAAAAAATTGCTATAGTATATGATTAGTAAATATTTTGTCATCTTCAAATGTCACATACAAATACAAACAAAAATAAAAACAAATGAACTAGAAATATAAATCCAAACTTGTACATTTATTATCGATAATTACTCTAAAGAAAATGTTATTATTTAAAATAAAAAATAATATTCAATATTTATACATTATGTAATTAGAAATCTTATTTAATATAGTTTTAGAATTAGTAATTAGATTTAAAATCCTTACCATAATATGGTCAATTCATAAAAGTTAGGTAATTAAAAAATAAATCAAAACAGGAATATCATCTAGTATACTTCTGTCATTTTAATTTTTTTTAATTTAAGTTTAAATATAAATTATTTTAAATTGATTTTTTAAAACTTTATTCTTAAATTATTTGATGAAGTAGAACACAAATTATGAATTTTTCATTTATTTTTATAATCCAAAGTTGTAATATGAAATTGAAATATTTATGGATTTGTAATTATCTAACTTTTGTAATTAATTATTTTTAGTTTATGAGTAATGCCATCAATAATTTAAAGATATTAATAATAAAAACCTCTTTAACAATAATTTTATAAATAAAACCTCATTAAAAAATAATTTTACAAGGATTGAAAAAAGGAGTATTATATTTAAGCCATTGAAAATCATGTACTAGCAGGTACATGCATGTCTTTGTGAAAAGACAACATGGAATTCCAAAACTGAATTGCTCTTTCTATACTCAATGTTTCTCTAATCTACACTATACTATCTGATAAGGTTCTTTTTTTTTTTTTTTTTTTTCTGAGATGTTAACATGGTGTTATGTTGATGTTTCTTCACAATACGTCAATATCATCTTTCTTGGAGTGACATTTTCTACTGCGACAATGAGATTTAGGCTTTCTTTCCATGGTGTATTGCTGCACGACAAGAAGTGAGGAGTTTGTGCCAAAACTGGTTGAAGCTACAATGTCCCCCATGACCCCAAGTTCAGGGTTGTCACACCATTCCAACAACCTTTGGAAAATTGTGTACTTGTTGCCACTCCCCTGTCCCAAAACGTACAAGTCACACCGTGGTTTGTCTATCTCATTGAGGACCAAAGGAATCTCCTCACCAGTTTCTATCCTTACTTCTTTCTCTGAGTATGTGATGGAGTCGTTGTTGTGCAACGCTTTGTGCCTGAAGTGAAATATGTGCTCATCATCCAACTCTTTCTGCATCACATTGTCCATCACTGTAGATAACAGTCCATTGGGATCACAGTGGAATGCCTTATCTTCTGCAGCCTCAGTGCCTGATATGAGAAGCCTAATTACATGCAACTTTGTGGCTGAATGTGCTGCCATTCTCCATGCAACTGACAAGGCTTCACGATCATCAAGCCCTCCGATGAAGACCATAATGATGTTCATGGTTGTTTTAGACAATGGCCTGAGTCCACGGTTCACAAGGATCCCCACAGAACAAGGTGGTTCCTGCAACACATTCTTGTTTATGTCACCTAATGCATCGTTGGTTGTTTCCAACACACCTTCCGAGTTTAGTTCTTTGTGGAATGGAAGGAGAATTAGGCTTGCACGTTTCTCTTCTGTCACATTGTATATATCCTGATGGATTGTTTCATAGGTTGCAACAATACCTGATGTGTCAAATCTCACTGCTTTGTATTCCTCAACAAACTCCGTAAATGCATTGTTTATGGTCTCAAACTCTTCTTGTGATCCATACTGGCTCTCTGATGACCCCCCTTGAACATTTGGATTGTCCATTTGGGCCACAAGAAGACCAGTGCCGTGTCTAGTGAGTTCCACAAGGTGAAGGACTGACACATATAAAGGGGAAAGTCTGCTGGCATTTGTGGCTTCAAGAACACGGATCATGCCAATGGCTTGGTGAGCATTGTGGACACAAGCTGCAACTCGAAACTCTGCTTCATACCTTAGCTTCTGCACAGTCCTTAGTTGGGTCTGCTTGAACCGGAGTTTTGGCTTGTATATGGCATTAATCAAGGGAGAGGCCGCTATAGTCATGAATAGTATCCCAATCATCATAATTGTAAATGCATAGGGGTCCAACAACTGAAAAGAAAGAGTTGATTAAGTGTGATCAGTAGAGCTAATGGATTAAATTGCTGCATGCAAATCTACAACCTGTTTGTTTTGTGAAAACATTTTCTATTTAGACAAATGGTTCTAGTCAATCTACTTTATTTCCTGTTCAGAAGTATATGAAAATAGGAAGCAAAGTGAAAGCAATGTGACATGTTTTGTAATCATTTGAAGACGGATGAACATATGAACCAAAAATGTTTTCTCAATCTAAACAAGTTTTTAGTAATCAAGCAAGAATTTGAAAGAGGAGCATAATATGATATGAGTTTGGTTAGTGAATAGTACTCTTTTATCCCAGGCAATGCTCAGTAGAAGCACTGCCATGATGCCCTTGGTGTTGAGAAGCAATCCAAGGCCCACTCCATCTCTTGAGGACATACCATAGAAGAAAGTAACCAACACAGAACTTAAAATTTTTGGGATGGCTAACAAGAACACCATGAAGAACGAAAATATAACTGAATCTGGTTGAGACCAAAGTGATTCCAGGTGTAGTCTAAAGCCAAAACTAGCAAAGTAGACAGGAACAACAAATGCAGTAACGAAATCATCCAACATTTCCGACATCAAATCAGCAAACCTCCCACTAGGCAAAATTAGTCCATAGACAAAGGCCCCAACAACATGGTGTGCACCAAGAAAGTCTGTGATACATGAACAAACAAAAAGTCCAATCATCACATCCATCATTTTTGTGTAGTTCCATGACTCCGACCTCATTCTTTGTTCAATCACGCGTGTCAAGATTGGACGCACCACGCAAAAGCAGAACAAAATGAACAACAATGTGCATATTACTGAGAGAAGTGGTTTTCCGCCCTTATGGGAATAAGGAATCAAGAATGTGAACAAAATCCAGCCAAATGAATCAATTAACATGGCTGCTGTTACGGCATCTTTGCCAAGCTTTGTGTAGATGATCTTCAGATCTGATAGGAGCCTTGCAAGGACTGGAAAACCTGTGACAGCAAGAATTGCACACCAAAACATATACCCTTTAGTGGTGAGAATACTGTGTGATCCACCAATAAAGTAATGCTCTAGTGCAAGACAACCAGCTCCAACCAGTATTGGAATGAGAATGCTAGCAACAGCAATGATTATAGCCTGCTTGCTTGATCTCAAGATGGAATCACAGTTCATCTCCAACCCACTAAGGAAAACATAGTACATGATTCCCACATTTGCAAAGGTTTCAACAGCCAGGATTCCTTCTGGACGGTAAATCGAGTGAAAAACTTCAGGGATGCTTCCCAACAATGATGAACTCAAAATTACACCACCCTGCATATACAAGATCAATTTTATAAACCTTGATATAAATAGTACAAAAATCTTTGCAATATTTTTCTTTCATTTTTTTAACTTATCATTTCAGAATAAATTCCAGCACCATGTGTTCGAGAAATTTTATAACAGAGTTTGGTTTTTAAGTTACGTCAGATTTCTCAGGTTACAACATCAAGGGAGAAACTACACGACGAGTTACCTTCTCATTTTTCACCATTTTTTTCCCATGTTTAAATGCATAACCAAATACACATTTAAGCTTTTTACGTGATTATGCACAATTCAAATTAAAACAAACAAAAATATCAGAACAGGTACACACTTTCAATATCTATGGATGACTTTCTTCCTAAACACTTTTAAAAGGAAAAAAAAAAATTCAAACACTATAATTAGTTAACATACAATCTAATTTGTATAAAATTTATCTACTTCTGTAAAACTTTTTGTAGACAAGTTTACCCAAACACATTATCAAGTATACTCAAAAGTAATGAAATAGGGAAAACATTTGGATGAAGAACACTTACAAGCATCTGGGCAATGATAAGAGGCAGGTGCAATGGCTTGAAGATGTGGTGAAAAATACTTGACATGAAGATATTGTAGGCAATTTGAATAGACAAAAGAGGAACGCGATTTGCAATGACATTATCACTCCTCCAGATTATGTTGTTAGGATCAAATGTTGTATTGTAGCATGCCAATTCTGGTATTGAATTAGGAGCACCATTTGTTGGACTTGCCATCCCTGTCTTCTTCTGTGAGACCTTAATTGATTTTCTTATGTTTTGAATTTTTATTTTTTTTGTCATCCTTATTTAAAGAACGGCATGTAGCAGAACAAGATGCAAGGTATTGCCACTGCATTTTAAGCTGGCACAGTTCAAATTGCTTTTGTTGTCTCTGTGCTACAATATCTGTTGCTTTATTACTCCACCATGAATACACACTAAAAATAAACATTTGGTTGTAGCAGTTAATTAAAAGTTTAAAATAGTTCAACTGAAAATAACTAATTAAAATATTTCTGCCTCCAGCAAAGGGTTATCAAAACATTCGGAACCAACATGATATATATAAAATAAACCATTCCAATTTCTTTGGATGAAATGAAAGGAAAGAGAAAATAAATAAAAATGTGTTTTTTCTTTTTCTTTTTAAACACAAACTTTGTACCCACAACATTAAAAATAATTGGTTGGACGGAGATTAATTATCAACTTCGTACAACATCATAGTTATTTCGTAAATCTGATTTCTTCTGGATGCAGAAATGGTATTTCTTCCTTTAGATCTTCTAATTTTTTTCCACCGCAATTAAAAATAGCATATTACTAAAAATGAAATAGCAATTAAAAATTAATATTACTATTTAAGAGATAATTTTTAAAATAATTCCTCTTTTTCAATGATGAAAAAAAAAGTACAATTTCAATCTTATTATTAATAAAGTTTTTAAAATTTGATTGTGAAGATATAGATATAGAATTTAAAGATTTAATTCAGTTTTATAATCCAATCAGATTTAATAAAATAATATTTTATAATATAATAAGTTTATTAATAAAAATATTTAAAAATAAATAAAAATTACTGTTCATGATAAATTATAATAAATATTACAAATATAAAATATATTAAAAAGATATAAGATAAATAATTGTTAAAATAAAATAAAAATACTATTTAATAACTATTATTTAAAGATAATATAATTAATATAAAATAAAAATAAAAACATATTATATTTTTTATAAAAAAATTAATCATAATTTTTTTTACGAAAATCAATTTAATAAAAAATCAGTCAATTTTTCAGATATATCAGATTTATCTCCGTTTAATTAAAATCTAATTATTTAAAAATAATAGACTAATCTCTTATTAGAGTAATTAAATAGTATGATTTTTAAAATAGTGTTATTAAGGAAGTTAGTGTTTTACTAATCAATGTAATTACTAAATTCATAATGTTAGAACCCATCTTGAAAATATAATTTCAGGGGAACTTAATGCCCGCTCTTTAGAAACAATCAAGATCCAGTTGCATAAAAAAAAAAGTGATTGAAGGCATTCATTATGATAATAGTTGATAGACTACATAGATTTTTGTCTCGTAATAAGAGATAGAAAGAAACCAAATAAATAATAAAAAATATTGAAAAGGGTCTCATAGTGATGATAATAAGACCACTGTTGTATGATTCATGTAGCCTATGAGATAATAAGACCACTGTTGGTAGTGGTGGTGGTATTGAAAATCAACAACTTTGAATAATTTCCTCGACAACTTTGCCGATGGCATTTCCTTCGATTTAACCATACAATGAATAACTCAGTAAACCAAAATCCTCATAAAAAAGGATTAACTAAAATAACTTGGGATAGACTTTAGTGATATTAGGCATTTGAACCCTAAAGTAGTGAAGGCTCTTACTTTTTATGTATAATTGTACTACCTCAAGCAGTTTTCAATTGAACAAGTACACCTAATCTCAAAGCACCTTCCTTATGTGTGATATCTCTAACAAAGATCAGGGGCACATTCCTCTATGAAGCCACAAGACACAAATGCATTATCAAATACTAGAGCATCTCATGTATCAGCAAAAACACAAAGCTTCACTAGTAGTAATTTTGCAGTATCATAGAAAGGTTAAATAATGTATGCCTTTGTGAGAAAGATTGAAGAAAAGACAACATGGAATTCCAAAACTGAATTGCTCTTTCTATACACAATTTTTCTTTAATCTACACTATACTATCTGATCAGGTTCTTTTTGCGTTTATTTATTTATTTTTTTGGCTTGTGAGATGTTGACATGGTGTTATGTTGTTGTTTCTTCACATGTAAATATCACTTTTTGTAGAGTGACATTTTCTGCGACATTGAGGTTTAGGCTTTCTTTTCATCGTGTATTGCTGCACAACAAGAAGTGAGTTGTTTGTGCCAAAACAGGTTGAAGCTACAATGTCCCCCCATGACCACAAGTTCTGGATTGTCACACCATTCCAACAACCTTTGAAAAATTGTGTACTTGTTGCAACTCCCTTGTCGCAAAATGTACGAGTCACACCCTGGTTTGTCTATCTCATTGAGGATCAAAGGAATCTCCTCACCAGTTGCTATCCTCAGTTCTTTCTGAGTATGTGATGGAATCATTGTTGTGCAACCCTTTGTGCCTGAAGTGAAATATGTGCTCATCATCCAACTCCTTCTGCATCACATTGTCCATCACTGTAGATAACAGTCCATTGGAATCACAGTGGAATGCTTTATCTTCTGCAGCCTTAGTGCCTAATATGAGAAGCCTAATTACATGTAACTTTGTGGCTGAATGTGATCAGACTTGAGAGATTGTTGATTGGTCACATAATAAGAAAGTTGTAGGATGTAGATGGATCTACACTTTGAAATATTGGTTTAATGAAACATTAGACGATTACAAAGTGAGGTTAGTTGCAAAAGGATACACTTAGACTAGGAGATGTTTGCCACAGTTTGATGTGATAGGTTCTTTTCTACATGGAAATCTAGAGGAATAAGTCTACATGAACATATCCCCTAGATTTAGATCTATTGAAGAAAGGAATAAGGTATGTAGGTTGAAGAAAACCTTATATGGTATTCAACAGAGGCTAAGTTTCACACTATGACACAACGGATGTATGAATTGTTATGGTTGAAATAGGTTTGAATGATCTTAAAGGGAAATATAAAGACCCATCTCTCTCTATTGTGAAAAAATTTAGCTATTAGTATTGCTTACAATTCTATCTTGCATGATATGATCAAGCATATAGAGAACGACTAGTACTTCATCAATTTATAGCTGCCTCCTAAATCCCATTAGGACTTTAGCTTGTTGAAAACAAAGGCCAAATTTATTATTTTGATGATAACAAATACGATTAAATTTTAAAGAATTTAACATGTATGCTAAGTGTGTCACATAAAATAAATGTGCTTAGCGACAATTAAGAAACATTAGTCATGGTGCTTGAACAATGGTTGCTCACGACACGTGATAAGAGAAAGATCTATGTTCCTATACCTAAAGATGAAGAAGGGACGAATACTGACCTTCGGAGGAAATAAAAAAGGAAGAATAATTGAAATAGGAAGTGCAGACTATGTTAGAGATAAAGTTGAAAGAAAGAGCACAAGTAGAAGATGTTATTTTCTTCGAGGCAACCTAATCTCATGAATTAAAAAGAAGCAAGGGGCAATAGCTTTGTCTACCGTTGAAGCAAAATACATATCAACTGCCAACTGTTGCACTCAGCTGCTTTGGATCAAGAATCAGCTAGAAGATTGTAATATTTACAAGCATAACATTCTCATTTTGTGTGATAATATTGTTACAATTACTCTATCTAAACATCTCATTTTACATTCAAGAGCTAAACATTTAAAATTAAACATGATTTAATAAGAGATCATGTTCAAAAGGGCACTATAAACTTATAATTTGTAACCACAAAAGATTAACTAACTGATATTTCTACTAAGCCCTTAGCAGAAGACAAACATAATCGTCTAATTTTGCTATGTGAACTAACCTTTGTAAAGTGACATTCCATTGCTATTGGCCTAGGCACATAACGCAACTCTATATATCATCCCATAACATGTTGTCTAATGAACATCAGCATGCATACATACCTTGCATGTACATCCACGTGGTGAATTATATTGAGCTCACTCATCTTTTACTGTTTGGAGCAAAATTAACATTTTATGAACCCTCTGAGAAAAATAGATTAACTGAAATATGATTTTTTATTATATCAATACAAAGAGATGATATAAGATATATACAAGAGACCTAAACTATTTTAGGAAATATAATAACTCTATTTTATGCTAGGATCCCTTGATTTATGGGATTGTTCCTAATTATTCAAATCTGTACAGATTACAAGGAAATATACAAATTTCCTTATTTATTCTTTCCTAAAATACTATTTGATTTCTCACACTCCCCCTCAAGCTGGTGAATAGATGTTTTCCATTCCCAGCTTGGATACAATCTTCTCAAAATTATGGCAGCCCAGTCCCTTGGTAAGAATGTCTGCAATTTGGTCTTGAGAGGACACATATGGAGTGCATATCAAGCCACTATCAAGCTTTTCTTTGATGAAGTGTCTGTCTACTTCAATATGCTTTGTTCTATCATGCTGCACTGGGTTGTGGGCTATACTGATTGCTGACTTATTATCACAATAGAGCTTCATAGGTTCTTCCCACTTTATCCTCAAGTCTTCTAAGATGATTTTAAGCCATAGCAACTCACATATACCTTGTGCCATGGCTCGGAATTCTGCTTCAGCACTGGACCGAGCCACTACACCCTGCTTTTTGCTTCTCCAAGTCACAAGATTTCCTCCAAGAAAGGTGCAATATCCTGTAGTTGACCTCCTATCCACAATTGACCCTGCATAATCAGCATCAGTATAGGCTTCAAGCTTCACATTACCATTCCTTTTGAATAGAATCCCTCTTCCTGGAGTTCCTTTAAGGTACTGTAAAATTCTGTGGGCAGCTTGTAAATGGGTCTCCTTTGGGCTATGCATAAATTGGCTAATTAAACTCACTGCATAGGCAATATCTGGCCTGGTATGTGACAAATATATAAGTCTGCCCACTAATCTTTGGTACATATCTTTTTCAACAGCAACATCTTCTTCTGCATTTCCAAGCTTTAGGTTTGGTTCTAATGGGGTACTAGCAGGTTTGCAAGCTGCCTTGCCAGTTTCCTTGAGCAAATCAGTGATGTATTTCTGCTGAGATATAAATATCCCTTTCTCGGAGTGGGCAACTTCAATTCCCAAAAAATATTTTAGTTTTCCCAAAGTCTTGATCTCAAATTCCTTGCCTAAGCATTGACTCAATAATTGTTGCTCTTCTTTATTATCTCCAGTTAATATTATGTCATCCACATACACCAATAATATTGTTACTCCCCCTGACTTGGAATGTTTAAAAAACAAAGTATGGTCCCCTTGGCTTTGTTTGTAACCCAGACCTGTCATAACTTTAGTAAACCTGCCAAACCATGCACGGGGGGACTGTTTTAACCCATATAATGCCTTTTTCAACTTGCAAACAGTGTTGGCAGCAACATCTTTACCATATCCCGGAGGTATCTCCATATAGATTTCTTCTTCAAGGTCTCCATGTAGGAAAGCATTCTTAACATCAAATTGTTCCAAGTTCCAACCATAATTGGCAGCAAGGGACAATATCACCCTAACTGTGTTCATTTTGGCAACCGGAGCAAAGGTCTCCAAATAATCAACTCCATAGGTTTGGGTGAACCCTTTGGCAACTAGTCTTGCCTTATATCTCTCAATTGATCCATCAGCCTTGTATTTCACTGTATAGACCCATTTACATCCAACTGGCCTCTTTCCTATTGGTAAGGTGACTAACTCCCAAGTGTTGTTCTTCTCCAATGCCTCCATCTCTTCATCCATGGCTTGCCTCCATTTTCTGTCAGACAATGCCTCAGATAGGGTATTAGGTAGAAGTACAGTGTTTAGGTTTACTAGGAAGGTTTTATGGGTAGGAGAGAAATTTTTAAAGGACAGGTAATTTGAGAGAGGGTAGAGTGGCTGTTTGGTGCATTTTCTTGTTCCTTTTCTAATGGCAATTGGGAGGTCAGGATCATTTTGGGTTTCAATTTCAACCTGCACAGCTGGAGAAAAAATTGTTACCTCTTTTTGTGGAGTCGAGTTGGATTCTTGAACATGGCTTGATCCTGGAATGGCCTTAGTCTTCCTTGAGTACACCAGCTTCTTACCAAATTTTCCAGTTTCAACATCTTCTTGATCAGCTTCACAATTAATTTCACTTTCTTGACCAACTTCCTTTGCTTGACCAATTCCTTGACTTGTTTCATTTGTTACAACTTCAATTTGATCTTCAATTTGATCTTGTTTAGGTTCAAATATCTGAAAGTGATACTAGCAAAAATCTCATTGATTTGATGAAGTCAAAGATAAAGTCAAAGGTCAACTCTGCAACAGTCAAACAAGTCACTCAGAAGAATGGAGCTGAAGACTTAGTGTGTCTTAACAGAAAGCTTAGGTAAAACCACTTTACCTTTTCCACTGCATGAAGCTCCTTCACTCAATTTGCAAAATGCCTCAAAAATAGTTTTAAACAAATCAAACAAAAGCATTTTGACAAAGAACTTTCTTAACAATGTTTTTAAATGATATAGTTTTAAAAGAAACAATTAAAATCACTTAGAATGCGTAAAGAAGTGTTTTTACAGTATTTTAATCGATACAAACTTCTTTTAATCGATTAAAACCCTTTATGACCGATTAGAATTCGAATATGACAGGTCAGAATGAAATATAATCGATCAGACTATAAAAATGAGCGATCAGATTTATTTTAATCGATTTAAACACGTTTCAATCGATTAAAACCACTTTGGAAGTCAGGATGATCGATCAGAATGAAATTATGACCGATCAGAGTTGATTATGATCGATCAGAATTGAATTATGACCGATCAGACTTATTTCAATCGATTAAAACGAATTTCAATCGGTTAAAATAACTTGAAAATTTTTGTACAGAGTTTCAATCGATTAAAACGCATCTCAATCGATTAAAATAACTTGGAAAATCTTTGTACAGAGTTTCAATCGATTAAAATGCGTTTCAACCGATTAAAACAACTTAGAAAATTTATGTGCAGATTTTCAATTGATTAAAACTTCTTTGTATCAGTTAAAATAACTTGAAAAGTTTTATAAGAAAGTTTTAAAGCAAATCAATCGATTAAAACGTGAATCAATCGATTGAATCACACTTAGAAAATGTTTGTAAAATGTTTTAACTGATAAAAACGTGGTCGTATCAACTAAAACAATTCTGTTAAAGAAACAAGAACGCATTAATGGGTTGAAAGGACTTTTAACAGATTATAACGGCTATTTCAACAGATTAAAACAAACTTTCAACAGATTAATTAATGCAGCAGATTTGAAAATTCTCTATAAAAACAGTTTGGCTTGAACTTTTAAAGTGAGATTGAACATCAGTTTTTAAACATCCAAAGCAATCAATTCAAGCAACTGTTAAGCATCCTTTTCCAAGAAAGATTCGTAACTGCTTTGTGAACTTCTTTTTGAAATCTTTCT